GGGCACAGGGAGAGCTCGGTGGGCACAGAGAGAGCTTGGTGGGCACAGGGAAAGTTTGTTGGGCACAGGGAAAGGTTGGTGGGCACAGGGAGGGCTCGGTGGGCACAGGGAGAGATCCTTGGGCACAGGAAGAGCTCATCTGGAGCAAGGAGAGCTCAGTGGGCACAGGGAAATCTCAGTGGGCACAGAGAGAGCTCAGCTGGACTAGGGAGAGCTTGGTGGGCACAGGGAAAGATTAGTGGGCATAGGGACGGCTCAGCTGGAGCAGGGAGAGCTCAATGGGCACAGGGAGGGCTCAGTGGGCACAAGAAAAGGTTGATGGGCACAGGGAAGGCTTGGTGGGCACAGGGAGAGCTCCTTGGGCACAGGGAAAGCTTGGTGGGCACAGAGAAGGCTCAGTGGGCACAAGAAGAGCTCAGCTGGAGCAGGGAGGGCTCAGTGGGCACAGGGAGAGCTCGGTGGGCACAGGGAAAACTTGGCTGGCCCATGGAGAGCTCAGCTGGCAAGGGAGAGTTTGACTGACCCGAGGAGAACTCAGTGGGTACAGGATGAGCTCCTTGGGCACAGGGAGAGCTCAGTGGGCACAGGGAGAGCTCAGCTGGACTAGGGAGAGCTTGGTGGGCACAGGGAGAGCTCAGCTGGAGCAGGTGGGCACAAGGAAAGCTTGATGGGCATAGGGAGAGCTTGACTCCTACACGGAGAGCTTGGCTGGCCCAAGGAGAGCTCAGCTCAGTGGGCACAGGGAGAGCTTGGTGAGCACAGGAAGAGCTCAGTTGGTCTAGGGAGAGCTTGGTGGGCACAGGGAAAGGTTGATGGGCACAGGGAGGGCTTGGTGGGCACACTGAGAGCTTGGCTGGCCCAAGGAGAGCTCCTTGGGCACAGGGAGGGCTCAACTGGAGCAGGGAGAGCTTGGTGGGCACAGGGCGGGCTCAATGGGCGCAGAGAGAGCTTGGTGGGCACAGGGAGAGCTTGGCTGGAGCAGGGAGAACTTGGTGGGCACAGGGCGGGCTCAATGGGCACAGAGAGAGCTTGGTGGGCACAGGGAGAGCTTGGCTGGAGCAGGGAGAACTTGGTGGGCACAGGGAGGGCTCAGTGGGCACAGGGAGAGCTCCTTGGGCACAGGAAGGGCTTGATGGGCACAGGGAGAGCTTGGCTGGAATAGGGAGAGCTCAGTGGGCACAGGGAAAGTTTGGTGGGCACAGGGAAGGCTCAGTGGGTACCGGGAGAGCTTGGCTGACCCAAGAAGAACTCAGTGGGCACAGGAAGAGCTCAATGGGCACAGGGTGAGCATTTGGGCACAGAGAGAGCTTGGTGGGCACAGGGAGAGCTCAGCTGGCACAGAGAGAGGGCTCAGCTCAGGCAGGGAGAGCTCCTTGGGCACAGGGAGAGCTCAGTGGGCGCAGGGAAGGCTCAGTGGGCGCAGGGTGAGCTTGGCTGACCCAAGGAGAGCTCAGTGGGCACAGGGAGAGCTCAGTGGGCACAGGGTGAGCTCCATGGGCACAGGGAGCTCTGCTGGCACAGAGAGAGGGCTCAGCTCAGGCAGGGAGAGCTCCTTAGGCACGGGGAGAGCTCAGTGGGCGCAGGGAAGGCTCAGTGGGCGCAGGGTGAGCTTGGCTGACCCAAGGAGAGCTCAGTGGGCACAGGGAGAGCTCAGCCACAAATGAGCCAACCCTTCCCTGCTGGAGGACAGCCACACTGAGGGAACCTCCAATAGTGATGGGCTTGGCTTTGAACTAAAAAAGGGGAGATTTAAAGAGAATATTGGGAAGGAATTGTTCCCTGTGAGGATGGGGGTGGCACAGGTTGCCCAGAGAAGCTGGGTAACACTTCCTCATCTCTGCAAGAAGCCAGAAAACACTTCCTCATCTCTGCAAGGCCAGTTTGGATGGGGCTTGGAGCACCTGGGACAGTGCAAAGTGCCCTGCCCATGGCAGGGGGTGGACCAGGGTGATTCAAGGTCCCTTCCCAGCCAGGGCAGTGTGGGATTCCAGGCTTCCCAGTGGCCAGGCTGGAGCTGAGGACGCTCAGAGCTCCATGGCTGCGGCTCTGGGGAGCTGGGCCCCCCCTGCAATGGGAAATGCAGCGTATAATCTATGCATTAAAGTCCTTGGGAGACAGGAGCTGCTGTGCCTACACACTCCCAGCCTCTTCAGATCCAGCCCTGTAGATATTTTTTAAAGCTCTGCCTGAGCACAGTGTCCTTCCATTCGGGGCTGCGAAATTGCACCGAGTCGATACCAGGAATAAAAAAAGGGGGGAAAAAATTAAAAAAAAAAAAAAAATTCCTCCCATTTTAAAACCCAGATTTAACTTCAAAGTGAATGGAAACTGCGTTGCTGATTGTCTTGTGAGCCCTCCCTGGCTGCCTTTTCCAAGGGGAAGGCTTGGGGGTGGAATTCAGAGTCCTGTGGCTCAGTTCAGGCAGGAGCCCTGGGAAGTGGTAGGGGAAGGGCAGCAAAGCACCACAAACAGCTGGGTTTGGGTGCCAGCACGAGCCTCAGTGGTTTGGGGACGTCTCAGGAAGGTGCACAGCAGGGAAGGGAGGATTTCCCAGCCTGGAATCTCCTCTGGCGTTGCCATGCCTGCATTCCCAGTGTGGACGAGCAGCTCAGCTCATCCCCGTGGTCTTTATTCCCTGCTTTAGGTTTTGTGTCCTTCCCAAACCTCCCCAAAGCAGGAGAATAATATAATAATAATTAAAATAAACCTGGACAGCCTCTGGGCTGATGGGATCCTCCTTCCCATCATTAATAACAAGGAGAAATTCCTGCGGGAGCTGCGACCTCGAGCTGCTGGCACTGTGTGTGTGCCATGTTGGGAAAGGGCATCCCTGGCACCAAAACATCCCTGGCACCAAAACATCCCTGGTTTAGGGACATCTCAGGAAGGTGCACAGCAGGGAAGGGAGGATTTTCCAGCCTTTTCCAGCCTGGAATCTCCTCTGGCATTGCCATGCCTGCATTCCCAGTGTGGACGAGCAGCTCAGCTCATCCCCGTGGTCTTTATTCCCTGCTTTAGGTTTTGTGTCCTTCCCAAACCTCCCCCAACCAGGGGAATAATATAATAATAATAAAAATTAACCAGGAAAGCCTCTGGGCTGATGGGATCCTCCTTCCCATCATTAATAATTGGGAGCAATTCCTGCAGGAGCTGTGGCCTCGAGCTGCTGGCACTGTGTGTGTGCCATGTTGGGAAAGGGCATCCCTGGCACCAAAACATCCCTGGAAGTGCCCCAGGCCAGGCTGGAGTGGCCTTGGAGCCTCCTGGGCCAGTGGAAGGTGTCTCTGCCCCAGCTGGAGTGTTCTGAAAGTCTTTTCCAACCCAAACCATTCTCTGATCCCGTGAACCCAAACCCTTGATACCTCTCAACCTGGGCACCCCTTCCTCCATCCCTATTTCCCTGACCCTCCTCCTGGCAGATTTTTGGACTTTACAAAGAGGTGGGAGAGATTTTAGGGGCTGCTGGGGCCGTGCCTGGAGCCTGCTGCATGCAGGACATGGCTCCCATTTAAATATAATGGGATTGTGTGGGATGGTGCCCATAAAAAGCAATGTCAGGGCAGAGCATCTGATCCTCTCCGGGCAGCTGGAGCAGCTCCCTGATGACTTTTCCAGGTTGTTCCTCATCCCCAGTCTGTTGCAACAGAGGGAGAATATCATGGGATATGTATTTATATTTATATTTATATTTATATTTATATTTATATTTATATTTGCATGGATTTGTTCTGTGCCAGCCTCGGGGGATAGGGAGGATTGAAGGATCACATCCCCAGCTCAGCCTCTCACCCAGGGATGCTCCAAAACCTCCATTCCAAACCCTTGGAATACAAAAATTCCCAACTTCTCCCTGCTCCTGGCGTTTGCCCTTTGCAAAATGAGGCTCAGGGATGAAAGTTTTCTCTCAGCACCCACCAGCCCAGCCCATCAGCACCCTCCAGAGCGAGCAGAAAATGGGATTTTAATAGGGCTGGAGTGGCTGGGAACACCCATGGTTCTGCCTGAACCCTGGATTTGGGTCACATCCAAAGCAAATGACACTTGTCAAGTGACATTTGTGTCTTTTCTTTTTGCTAATGGCCCCCCAAGCTGGATTTCTATTTCTATTTTGGTTTTTTTTTCCCATTTTAAGAGGTGGGAAAGCTGTTTGTTCCCTCATGGAAGTAAAATCCATCACCAGGCTGCTCAGAGAAAATTTTCACCACCAATCCTTGGCCTCAACCCCCCAAAATCACCCTGGAATTGATGAATATTAAATTATTATCTCCAGAAGGAGCATCACCTTTTTGATCCCAACCCACAGCCCTGATATCCCCTGGGATAATTTGATTTCCTGGAATTAAGAGGCAGGAGCAACGCTCCAGTTCCTGCTTTTCCCTTTTCTGTCACATTCAAAAATATTCTCCATCAGATGTTCATGTTTCCTCAATTTGTAACACGTTTTAATAATAGGAATCTTTCCCATCGCCTGGGTAAATTGTTGGATGCTGTGAATCCTTCTGGGGAGGGCTCAGGGCTCCTCTTCAGCTGGGTTTGTGACCCAAAAAGAGCAAAAATTTGCTGAAAAAAGAACAAAAAAATTAATCAGAAAAAGCAAAAAAATTAACCAAGAAAGCACAAAAAACTGTAAAACAAACAAGCCAAAAATAATATCCAAAAAGGAACAAATGGTGTAAAAAGTAATACAGTTAATATTTAATTATTAACTGTATATTAACTATATTTATTTAATCTGCAGTTAATATTTATTTTGCACTCATTGTTTATTTTTTCCTGGACTTTTATTTCAACTTCTCTACCTCTCCTTTCCCTTTCCAACCAGGAATCACAACATTAATTAAGAATATTCAGAATTCTGGGATGGTTTGGCTTGGAAAAATCCCACCCAGTGTCACAGCAGGGAACTTGTGCTGGACCAGGGTGCTCCACAATTTCCTTGGATGCTTCATCCACCCAAAATATCCCATCCCAAGCCTTTTCCATCTTTTTTTTTTTTCCAGGTTCAGCAGCGTTTTCCCAAGCCTGAACATGGCAGTGAAGCGCCGGGAGCAGACGCTGCAGGACTACAAACGCCTTCAATCCAAGGTGGAAAAATATGAGGAAAAGGAGAGAACTGGCCCTGTCCTGGCCAAGCTGCACCAGGTATTGAGGTGTCCCCAGAGCCACAATCCCAGCAGCATTCCTGGGAAAACTCAGGAAAAGCTTTTCCCTCCTATCCGCCATCCGTGCCGCGAATAGAACATTTTGGGAGGATGTCTTTTATCCGTGTAAAAATCACATTTTTGACAGCACAGCTCTGGTTTGGAGTGCTGGGTGAAGGGAAGGAGCTGCTTTTCTGAGAGAAAATGGAATTTTTTTCCAAGGGAAAATGGAATCAGAGCCCTGGGAGCTCTAGGGGAGCTCGGAGGCAGCGCTGAGGTCGAGGTTCCCCCCGACCTCCGCATCTGAGCGAGCAGCTGGATGGGGAAGGGAACAGATCAGAGCATTTCCCAGCTTTATGTTTGCCACCTGTTCCCCAAAAAATTCGCCTTGGAAAATTGCAGTAATTGGTTAACAGGAAGTTTTGCCAGATTCTTTTTGCTCTCTCCCGAATTTTAGCGAAATCGCGATGAGTTTGTTGGTTTTGTGGTTTTTTGATTTTTTTAAAATCAAATCTTCCCCAGCGTTTTTCCCCAAAATCTGTCGCTCCAGCAGCACGTGGCTTGATCCTCCCAGGAACAATTGATTCTCAGAGTCAAAGAAAATGTGTTTTTCTGATGAATTTCCCCCCCCCAAAAATGAAGTTTTGTGTTAAATAACAGCCTGAACAAAAGACACCTCTGGTTTAACAGTAAGCAGCTTATTTTGCTCAGCCTCAGCGACTAAAGCTGGGGCTGGAAAAATGGGAATTCTTTTGTCCTGGTGATTAAGCAGGGTTTAGTTATTTCATATATTTTTTCCTCTTAATGAACTTTTGATCTAATTCCTCCTCCCCAAAAAAAATGTTTTAACCAAACACTGAGTTTAAACACCTGTGAGAGGGTGCCTTGAGCAATCCTGAACCTGGGGTATCCAGAGGGTCTGGATTTGATGGGAAAGGGCCTCATCTCATCCTGTTATTTTTAATTATTGAGCTGCAAATTTACATCCATTGTTTGCTCCAGATTTTCTGCTCTTCTGCCCCCTGTGAAGTCCATCCTGGGAGTTTCCCCTGGGAGCACCATCTGGGGAGTATTTCCCCATGAGCTCCATCTGAGGAGTGTTTCCCCTTGAAATCCATCCTGGGACTTTTTCCTATGAATTCCATCCTGGAAGTTTTCCCCATTAATTCCATCCTGGAAGTTTTTCCCATGAACTCCATCCCAGGAGATTTTCCCCATGAAATCCATCCTGGGACTTTCCCCCATGAACTCCATCCTGGAAGTTTTTTCCATGAACTCCATCCCAGGAGTTTTCCTCCATGAGTTCCATCCTGGGACTTTTTCCCCATGAACTCCATCCTGGAAGTTTTCCCCATGAAACTCCATCCCAGGAATTTTCCCCATGACTTCCATCCTGGAACTCCCATCCTGGAAGTTTTTCCCATGAACTCCATCCTGGGAGTTTTCCCCCAGGAGTTTTCCCCTGTGAACTCCATCCTGGAACTTTTCCCCATGAATTCCATCCTGGAAGTTTTCCCCATGAACTCCATCCCAGGTGTTTTCACCTGGTTCCATCCCAGCAGTTTTCCCCCCTGAATTCCATCCCAGGAATTTTCCCCAGGAATTTTCCCCATGAATTCCATCCCAGTTTTCCCCCAGGGGTTTCCTCCCATGAACTCCATCCCAGAAGTTTCCCCCATGAACTCCACCCCAGGAGTTTTCCCCAATGAACTCCATCCCAGGAGTTTTCCCCTGGCTCCATCCCAGGAATTTTCCCCATGAGTTCCATCCTGGAACTTCCATCCTGGAAGTTTCCCCGTGAACTCCATCCTGGAAGTTCTTCCCATTAACTCCATCCTGGGAGTTTTCCCCCATTAACTCCATCCCAGAAGTTTTCCCCATGAACTCCACCCCAGGAATTTTCCCCAATCAACTCCATCCCAGGAGTTTTCCCCTGGCTCCATCCCAGGAATTTTCCCCGTGAGTTCCATCCTGGAAGTTTTCCCCGTGAACTCCATCCTGGAAGTTCTTCCCATTAACTCCATCCCAGGAGTTTCCCCCATGAACTCCACCCCAGAAGTTTTCCCCTGGCTCCATCCCAGGAGTTTTTCCCCCATGAGTTCCACCCCATGAACTCCATCCTGGAAGTTTTCCCCCAGGATTTTTCCCCATGAACTCCATCCCAGGAGTTTCTCCCATGAGTTCCATCCCAGGAGTTTTCCCCCAGGAGTTTTCCCCATGAACTCCACCCCAGAAGTTTTCCCCTGGCTCCATCCCAGAAGTTTTCCCCATGAACTCCACCCCAGGAGTTTTCCCCATAAGTTCCACCCCCTGAACTCCATCCCAGGAGTTTTCCCCATGAACTCCACCCCATGAACACCACCCTGGAAGTTTTCCCCTAGAAGTTTTTCCCATGAAATCCATCCCAGGAGTTTTTCCCCCATGAGTTCCACCCCATGAACTCCATCCTGGGAGTTTCTACACTCCCAGCCTCACGGCCAGTGATGAATTTGCTGCTTTGCTGGGACGATTCCAGGCCTTTCCAGCCTGGAGCCCAGTCCATGCCATGCCCTGGCACGCTGTCCCTGTCCCCAGGGCCGGCGCCGCGGCCGGGCCGGGCTCTCCCGCTCCCCCCTCCCGTTGGAATGGCACTGGGATTAAGTGGCAGACTTGAACTGGTCTAATATTTCACAGCCCACCCCCTCCTGCCCTTTTCCACACCATCCCAGAGACATTTCCCGTTCTCCCCACGCTCTGTTTAAAGGAGCCAGTTGGATGCACTGAGCTGAAGGTCACGGTGACGGTGGGGCAGGATCCTGGAGCGCCGCTCCTGGGAATCGCGGGCTGAGGGGACGTGGATGTGGCCAGGGACCTTCTCCAGCCTCACTGAGCTCTGGGAATGGGTTTTGGCCGTGTGTTTCTGAAGGAGAGAAGGCACAACCTCTCTGGGTGTCTGGTGGTTTTCCAGGGTCAGAGCATGATGGTCCCATCAGGATCCATCAACTGCTCACTTGGGCCCCACCAGGTTCTGTTGAGAGGTCACTTGAGTCCCACCAGGTTCTATTAACTGGTCAGCTTGGATTAACTGGTTAACTTGGATCCCACCAGGGTCCACTGAATGGTCACTTGGATCCCACCGGGGTTCATTGAATGGTCACTTGAATCCCACCAGGGTTCATTGAATGGTTACTTGAGTCCCACCAGGTTCTGTTAACTGGTCACTTGGATCCCACCAGATTCCATAGGATGGTCACTTGGATCTCACCAGGGTCCATTGAATGGTCTCTTGAGTCCCACCAGGGTCCATTGAATGGTCACTTGGATCTCACCAGGGTCCATTGAATAGTCTCTAGGATCCCACCAGGGTCCACTGAATGGGTCACTTGTGTCCCACCAGATTCCATAGGATGGTCCTCTTGGATCCCACCAGGGTCCATTGAATGGTCACTTGGATCCCATCAGGGTCCACTGAATGGTCTCTTAGATCTCACCAGAGTCCATTGGATGGTCCCATCATGATCCATTAACTGGTCACTTGGGTCCCATCAGGTTCCATTGAATGGTCCCTTGGATCCCACCAGGTCCCACTGGATGGTCACTTGAGTTCCACCATTGAATGGCCTCTTGGATCCCATCAGGTCCCATTTGATGGTTACTTGAGTTCCACCATTGAATGGTCTTGTGGATCCCGCCAGGTTCCATTGGATGATCTCATGGGTCCCACCAGGCTGGTCACTGCTCGTCCCCACAACCAAGCAAAGCCCCCCATTGTCCTGGGTGGACCCTTGTCCCAGGAGTGTGACCCCCTGTGTCCCTCCCCAGGCCCGGGAGGAGCTGCGCCCGGTCAAGGAGGACTTTGAAGCCAAGAACAAGCAGCTCCTGGAGGAGATGCCCAAGTTCTACAGCAGCCGCATCGATTACTTCAAACCCAGCTTCGAGTCGCTGGTCCGGGCACAGGTGAGACATTGTCCCTTCCTGCTACCTGTGTCGTGTCCTGTCCCACGTGTGCTTCATCCACTGGAATTCCATGGCTTTGTCCACCTGGCACTGCCATCTCCTTCAGTTTGGAGGCCTGAGCTCAGGGCTTGATTGGCTTTGAGGTGTTTGGGCTCATCTTGTGGCTCCTGGGACATCTCCACACCAAAGATCTGCAGGAAGAGATGCCCTGAATAACCACCAGCTTTCATTTCCATCCTCCAGCTTCCTCCAGAATGTGCTGCCTCTCCTCCTCCTCCTCCTCCTCCTCCCTTCTTTCCCTTGGGCTGCAGAGGGGCAGGTTGGGATCTCCCCAAGCTTTGAGAACCTGCGGGCGGCTCCGGAGGGCGGCACCGGGCGGTGCCCGCTCCGTGGGCGTTTCCTGCGGCATTTCGGGCCGGGAGCTGCCGCAGGGCCCCAGGTGCGCCCCGGGGGGAGGTGCCGGGAGCACGTGTTCCATCTCACCTCCGACTTGGGGGGGCCTGTGCGCCGAGCTGCCAGCGAGTTGTCTGCAGGCTGATTCACCTAGCAGATGGTGCCGATGCTCCCTGCGCCGCAGGGTGGGTGCTGGGGATGCTGTTCCTGCTGTTCCCTTAGCAATCGGGCGCGGGGCTCCCTGTTCCAGCCCGGAATAACCGCAATTCCCGCAGCCACCGCAGAGTCCTGCTGGCCCTGTCCCCCTGTGGATCCCCTTTGTAGGTGAGATCTTGGAACCTGAATGTTCTCTGCCCTTTTTGGGGTTGGTGATCCGTGAGTTTCCTCAGCTTCTCTGCCCTCTCCGGGGTTTGTGATCCGTGAGTTTCCTCAGCTTTGCCCCTCTGGCTTCTCGCTGCATTCGTGTCCCAAGGAATTTGGGGTGAGGAGGACGTTGGGATGGGTGTGCTCAGAATGCCCAGGGTGTCCCTGCTGGGGCTGTTTGTGACACTCTCCATCCACATCCCTCTTCTTCCTTGGGAATCCTCTGCTTTCTCTCTGCCCTGCCTCTCTTCAGGTGAGGAATTTGTTGGGAAAACCGAGCGAAATCCCGTCTTTAACACCCAAAAAGGCAGCGTCACAACAAAGCTGATGCATCCCCCGTAGGCTGGACTTAAAGCTGGTCCCAGATGGATGCAGCTCCTCACATCCCTCCCTGCCAGCCTCCATGGAGCTGCATCCCTCTTCCTTCCCAGCCCTGGCTGCATCCTTCCACCCCAGGGAGGGAGAGCTTGGGATGTTTGTGCCCCCCTGGCTCAGGAGCTCTGTGAAGCGTTTTCCCACTGAATTAACTGAAATCAAGTGGGAAAGGGATGTGATTTGCCCAAGGTAATGAGTCAGTGGCGAGCCAGGAATAGCAGGCAGAGCCCTGAGTCAGCTCAGCACTGCTCACCTGCAGGCACCTGGCTGGGAAGGGCAGGCAGGAGCATCCCCATCCCAGCTGGAAATACTGCTCAGCTTTCCCTCCCTCTGTGCCTCCCTGAGCTGATTTACAGCTGCGGGGGGGTCGTGTTCCTCGATATAATTTCTATTTTCAGCCTTTTCTGCAGGTACCTCTTTAGGAGTGGGATGAGGCTGGAGGTGAATCCCACAAGGAAAGGCTGCATGGGGTGGGACTGGGATGCAGGGTGCTGTGACTTTGGGGTTGTTTCTCCTTGGGTCAAACCCACCATCCAAAGGCGAAACCACCATTATTCTCCTGACTTTTCAGCCCTGGAGGCAGCAAGACAAATGGTGTGACAGTGACACCATGCAGCGCCACGCTGAGCTGGGAAGGGAGCAGCTGCCTCTGGGGGCAGGGGAAGGACCCTGCTCCCGAGCACCTCCATGGCTGTGACCCAGGGAGACCCTCCCAGAGCCTCCCCAGGCTGTTCCCATGGCACAGCTGGCCGTGCTCCCAGGCCTGGGTGGCTCCTGATGCCGGGACATGTCCCGAGCTCGCAGGGCTGTAACATTCAACACCAAATTCTTCTCTCCGCCCACGGGCCGGGCCAAGCCAAGGGAGGCAAATATTTCCCTGGCTGGGGGCTTTGAAGTGGCCACATGGAGATGAAAGGGGGAGATTTTGGAGCTGTGGCTGGTGTGAGGCGTGAACAGCACTTCCTTCCCGCTCTGGGCTTTATTTTCCAGCTGGAAAACACGAGATTCCTTTGGGTTTGAATGGAATGGGGGGGAAAATGGGGCTGGCAGGCAGGGATGGTGCTGTGGGCAGGGGGAGCCCGGTCCTGGCAGCACCCCTGGGTTTGTTTTGGGTAGGGCTGCCCCAAACAAGCAGCCACGGGGCCATTGTGGCCAGGATCTATAGAAAATCCACAGAACACAGCGTCCCCAAACAGAATTAGTTCAAGACAGGTGGACTCGGGGCCCTTGGCTCGGGCTCAAAGGCGAGCTGGAGCTGGGATTTGATGGGATGGGGACACAGCATATGGCATCCATAGCTGGAAAAGTACTGGGCTGGCAGAGCAGGTAGGGCAGGGGGAGCTGGCTGCCCCCTGGCACTGTCACCATTCTGGGGTGCATCCCCTCCCTGGGGGGGTTTTCACCCCTGTTTCAACAGGAGGAATCACGGGAGGGGGATCAGTGCCAGTGGGATTTTGCTGATGCTGCTCAGGAGACTCAGCTGGTAAAGCACTGGGTGGTGCCAGCTGGTTCTGAACTGGGGCTGCTGGGGGAGAGGGGCGTCCCCAGGGACACCCACCAGGCTCTGGGGACATGGGGGGTCCCCAAGGACACCCACCAGGCCCTGGGGACACAGAGGGTCCCTGAGGAAGGGATTGGTGGCTGTGGGATGTGGGTGGAAGGGGAGCAGCACCAAGGAGTTCACTCTGCTCTGCCTGTTCAGTGCAGTGTGGATGCTGGGGGACAATCCTGAGGGTCAGTCCACTGGGGACAATCCTGGGCTCAATCCTGAGGAAAATCCTGGGGGACAATCCCGGGGGTCAGTCCACTGGGGACAATCCTGGGCTCAATCCTGAGGAAAATCCTGGGGGACAATCCTGGGGGTCAGTCCACTGGGGACAATCCTGGGCTCAATCCTGAGGAAAATCCTGGGGGACAATCCTGGGGGTCAGCCCATTGGGGACAATCCTAGGGGTCATTCTATTGGGGACAATCCTGGGGTTCAATCCACTGGAGACAATCCTGGGGGACAATCCTGAGGAAAATCCTAAGGCACAATCCTGGTCCTGCAGGAATCCTCAGGGATTTCTGGATCCTGGTGGGGGAGGCAGTTCTGGAACCAATCCTGAGGGACAATTGTCCCCAAATCCTGGGGAGCAATCCTGGAGGACAATTCTGGGACCAATCCTGAGGGACAGATGTCCCCAAATCTTGGGGAACAGCCCTGGGGACAATCCTGGGGGCAGCATCTGCCTGCAGGCCTGCCACCCTGACAAGATTCAGCTTTTTCCGTGCTGGAATTGGCAGTGCCACTCGGCCATATGTGCCTGAGCAGAGCCCAGCTGACTGCAGGCTGGGGACAAGGGACATGGAGGGCTGCTCCAGGGCTCTGGCACCCCCTTGGCACCCTTGCCCCCCAGATCCCTGCCCACCTGTGGCATTGCTGGGGATTTGGGGTGTTTCTGGCATCTCTTGCTGGCAGGGGGGGTTCAGAGGATGTTGGGGGTGACCCAGCTGTGGGTTGTGCTTTGGGGGGCGTGCAGGGATTTTTGGGGAGCCCCTGCCAGCTCAGCGCTGTGTGGGGTTCGTTAGTCACTGTGTAAATGAGCATTGCTGTGACTCAGCCAGCCCCGCTGCGTGGGGAGCCCCGGCCACGGCGCAGCCCCCGAGCCCCCAGCACGGCCAGGCTGGGAATGGGGGGTTCAGGCAGCCAGAATTGCAGTGTGGGGCCCCACCAGACCCCCTCAGGCCTCCCAAAATCAGCATGGTTCTGAGCAGGATTAGGGGAGCTGTCTCCATGGAGACCGTGCATGTCTCAGCACTGCTGTGGGAAATGGGGACAGCGCTGGCACTGCCCACCCTGGGGGGCTGCGTGCCCCAACCCCTCCCTGGGGGCTGTGGGGGCGTACCCAGGACAGCACCCGGGGTCCTGCGGTGCCAGGGGTCCCACGGGGGGCTCTGAGGGCCCTGTGGCACCCGGGGGTCCTGCAGTGCAAGGACCCAGAGGTTCTGTGGTTCTGGGGGTCTCACTGGCAGCTCAGGGCATCCCTCAGCACCACGAGTGCCCCAAGCAGCATTTGGGGGTCCCACAGTCAGGGATGGGCACCCCCAGCGCTGGGGGTACCACAGGCAGGGCTGGGGGTCCCACAGACAGCACCGAGGGTCCCACAACACTGGGTGGGGGGGTCCCACAGACAGCACCGAGGCTCCCACAGGCAGGGCTGGGGGTCCCACAACACTGGGTGGGGGGGTCCCACAGCTCTGAGGGTCCCACAGGCAGGGCTGGGGGTCCCATGACACCGGGGGGGGGGGGGGGGTCCCACAGCAGCGAGGGTCCCACACTTGGGGGTCCCACAGTCAGGGATGGGCACCCGCAGTGCTGGGGGTACCACAGGCAGGGCTGAGGGTTCTGCAGCACCGAGGGTCCCACAACACTGGGTGGGGGGGTCCCACAGCCCCGAGGGTCCCACAGGCAGGGTTGAGGGTCCCGCGGTGCCACGGGTACCGCACTTGGGGGTCCCACAGTCAGGGCCGGGCACCCCCAATGCTGAGGCTCCCACAGTCAGGGCGGGGGGTCCCACAGCCCCGGGGGTCCCGCAGGCAGGGCTGGGAGCCCTCCTGTCCCCGCTGGAGCAGCCACCCCGCTGCCATCTGCGTGCGCTGACCCACGGGCTCCCGCGCCGGCAAGCGCTGCTCGCTGCCGGAGATAATTGGCGGTGCTAATTAGCACGTTATTAACACACCCCTCCCTCCTCCTCCTCGCCGTGCTTCGCGCGGGGCACGGCTCTGCCGGGCGTGCCCCCTTCACCGAGCCCTGGCCGTGGGCAGCGTGGGCCGGCGGCTCGTGCCGGTGGCACCGGCGACAAAGGCGGGGACGGGAGGGTGGCGGGGCCGGTGGCAGCCCCGCACGCGCGGCTCGCAGATGGGAAGCGAGCGGAGAAGGGCAGCGCGTTATTAAAATGTGTTGAGTTGTAATAATCCGAGGGGGCGGCACGGCCAGCGTGGGCGGGAGCTATTTCAGACACCAACGCCGCCGAGAGGGGCTGAGGGCACCCACGGGGGGCTGGGTGGGTGGGGAGGAGACCCCCCCAATCCCCTCCCTCCCCAATCCCCCCCCTTTATCCAACAGGTTGTCTACTACACGGAGATGCACAAGATTTTTGGGGACCTGACGGCGCAGATCGACCGGCCCGGGCTGAGCGACGAGCAGCGCGAGCGCGAGAACGACGCCAAGCTCAGCGAGCTGCGCGCCCTCTCCATCGTGGCTGATGACTGAGGCCAGGCTGGGCACGGGGAGGGGACGGGCATGGGGATCCCCCCTCGTTTTCAGCCCAGCTGCCCCTCCCAGGGATGGACTTGTGGGGCTGGAGCTGCTCCCGTCACCCCGCGGCTCTGCGTCGTCTTTGTCAGTGCACGAATGAGTTTTGCCTTAAAGGTTGGGGTGTGGAGGAGCAGGAAGGGGAGCGATACTAAAGATGGGGAATGGGATGTGGGATGCTGGATTTTGCCAGGTTCCAGCCTCCCTTAGCACCCCCAGAGCCCAGAGGGTGACACCCCCGCTCTTTCCCCTCATTTTGTGCCTTAGTAGCCCATTGGGACTCTCAGGGGAGGGTAAAATCACTCAAATCCCATTTTTTGACGTACAGGGAGAGGGTAATGCTTCTCATGGTGAGCATCCATCCCTCTTTTCCCAGGAATGCTCCAAAGAGCCTGTGCCCCAGAGCTGGGGGTGCAGGGTGGGGACAGGGGACCCCAGAGCAGGGACGGGTGGGGACATCCCTAAGGGAGACAACCCAGCCAGGAGCAAACCTATGGAAAACTGGGGGGTCTTCAACCCCTCCTTGGTGTGTGGGAAGGGCCACAGGGACTCTGTGGCATGTCCCAAATAAAGTTTTTGGCAGCGCGGCCGGGGCTGTGTCGGTGCCACCACTGGGGCTGTGCTGATGCCACCACTGGGGCCGTGTCGCTGTCACTGTCGGGGCTGTGCTGGTGTTGCTGCCACCACCAGGGCCATGCCAGTGTCACTGCTGGGGCCGTGTTGGTGTCGCTGTCGCCGCCGGGGCCGTGCCGGTGCCACCGCCGGGGCCGTGCTGGTGTCAGTGTCGCTGTCACCACCGTGTCCGTGTCGGTGTCGCTGCCGTGTCCATGTCGCTGTCGCTGTTACTGCCGGGGCCGTGTCGCTGTCGGTGCCGTGCCGGCGTCGCTGTCACCGCCTGGGCCGTGTCGCTGCCGTGTCCGTGCCGCTGTCGCCGCTGTCTGTCGCTGTCACCGCCGTGCCGCTGTCGCCCTCTGCCGGCGCCCGGCCGCCACTGCAGGGGTTCGCGGGGGGCTCGGGGTGTCCCTGGAAAGGAAAACTCGGATGGAACATCGGCACGGGAAGGAAACGGCCTCAAATCACCAGGAATGGAGATTTCCAGCACAATTTGGGCCTTTAAGGATAAGGAGAAGCCGCCTGCTGTGTCCTGGGGGGAGCAGGTGCTGCTTGGGATCAGGGGTTGGGAGCCCACCCTGGAGAGGTCCTGGTGGACATGGCAAAGGTCCCTTCTCTGCCTTGGGGTGGCTCCTGCTGCTCCAGGTGAGGGCACACGGCTCCAAACACCAGGAAAACCATCACCACCTCTTCCTGCCAGGACCTGGGCTTGGCAAACCTGCACGAGACAGGGAACAGGGCTCGGGGTGTCCTGAGAAGCAGAAAATGGGGATGGAACCCCTAAAAACCAAACCTTCCCTTGGTTTGGAGCCATGGGAATGCTGGTGGCTGTCCCCCGTGCAGGGACACAGCGAGGTCCCCCTGCAAGATCATCCCGTGCCAAGGCTCCTCCCCAGCTCCCAGCATGGAGAACTTCATCCCTCCCTCTCCCCTTGGCTGTTCCTTCCCAACCACATCACATGCCAGGCCAGGTTTAAGCAAAATAAACCCGGTTGCCACGGTTACCCAGAGCAGGGATGCTAAATATACAGAATATAGATATTTTTATAGATATTTTAACAGCCACGCACGGAGCCCGTGAGCCCGAGCAGGGGACACGGGATCTGAGCCCTGCCGACCTCAGGGTGGGCAGAGATCCCTCTGTGGCCTGGAGGTGTCGATTCCTCCTCAGATTCAAGCCCACCTGGTGGCTTTGTCTGCGTTAATGTCACCCTGTGTGGCACGGCCAGACCTCCCCAGCCACCTCATCCCCATCACCCCACCTGTCCTGGACTCAGAGCCCCCCAAATCCCAGCTCTGGTCCGTGCCACCAGCTCCTCCTGCCCTCCCAGCACTCAGGAGAGGGATGTCACCCGTGGAAACTCAAAGCCAGGCGTTCCCAGGGATTCACTCTGCCTACTCTCCGCAGCGCTCAGGGAGGAGAATTCCATTTTTTGTAGTGAAAAGTGGATAATGAGCGGGTTTTGCACCGCCCACAAGGTGCCAGCGTTAATAGGGAGAGCTGGCGGGAGGGGAAAACTCACTCTACAATGAGGAACGTGCTGAGGCACCCCTGGGTGAGTTCTCCAGCACTCCAGGAGCAGAGGAGAGGGAAAACACCACCCCAAGATGAGGGGCACTGGGACCATCCCAGCATAGGGAGCATTCCCTGCTGATGGACAAATCTTCCTCCTTTTTCCTCCTCATCAGGAATTCCAGGTTAGCTCAGTGGTTGTCCCTGTTCCTCCCCAGATCCCCTCGGGACGGGTTTAGCAGGTGCCAGCCCACCACCAACCCCAAGGAATTCCTTCACAAGTAGGATGAATTAACCCTCTCCAGGCCGGCCAGCACCAGCGCACATCTGGATCCGCACCTGGATTTTCCTTGTCGGATGCTCGGGAGCTTCTCCTCGTTCCAGGTGATTCAGGGGTGGCGCAGAGAGGCTCAGAGCTCCCTCCTCCTCCTCACCTGGGCCCTGGAAGGAGAATCAGCATCCCCTGGAGCAGCCTCAGCCATTTCCAGGGGATCAGCCAGGGGGGTTCAGCTGGGGTCCCAAAGAGGGGGAGGATGGAAGTGGCAGAGGGGCAGCAGGGCAGGGGGTGCCCAGACCCCCCCCCCACCCCCCAGCCGTGCCCTTCCGCACCTCCCCGAGCCCCTCCCCATTGCTCCTCCCGCTGGGGGGCTCAGGACAGCAGAGGGGGGGCCATGGGAAGGGTTCGATGCTGGAAGGGGAGGGACAAGGATCAAACACTCCCCAGCCCCAGCTGTGCTCCAAAACCCTTCAGCAGCCCGGGTCAGGCTGTGACCCAGCCGGGGGCAGTGCCAGGGACCCCCTGTGCCCCCGGGCACGGCGGGGAGGAGCGCTCACGGTTCCGGGAAGGAGCGCTGGGAAGCGGGAGCGGTGCCGGGAAGGAAAAACCCCAAGTGACGGTAGGAAATCGGCAGGAGAGGGGGGAAAGGGAGGGAGAGCGGGGTACCTGATGGGAGAGCGCCTGGCCGCGGCTCGGGGCAGCGTCTTCCTCACCCGCGGCACAGGCAGCGTCTTCCTCAGCGTCCCGCGCAGAGCTGGCGACGCCAGGAGGGGCTCCAGCAGCGCCAAAACAGCATCGAGCGCCCTCCTCATCCTCTACCCCCCAAACAGGGGAGCCGCGATGCTCCCGGGAGCATCATCCCGGGACCCCCGGACCATCGGCGCCCCCTCCCCACAAACCCCGCGGAGCAGCCGGAGGGGCCCAGGGGGGGCTCCGGGGGTCGGACGAGCTTCATCCCCACCCCCCCAGGCAGCGGGACCCCTCTGGGGCTGAACGGGAGGGGGCTCGGGGGTACCCATGGGAGGGGGAGATCCAGGGGCTGCCCAGGGGAGGGGGCTCGGGGATACCCCGGGGAGGGGGCTCGGGAGCCGCTCGGGACGTCCCCGGGTCCGGGCCCGGCGGGACAAAAGGGGCGGAAAAGCCGTCGGAAGTGATGCGGCGGTGACGCGCCCTCGCGTGACGTCACGCCGGGTTTAGGGGCGTGACGTCACGGCGCGCCAGCAAGCACCTCGCTCGGAGCCGCCTGTTTGTGGGTGAAAAGACTTTATTGAGGGAAAAACAAAAAAAGGTGAAGGGGTGCGCCAGGCTGGGGACCGGCCCCGTGCTGGCGTGACGTCATGGGGTGAGGTGTGACGTAGTTCCTCTATCCAGGTGCGGCGGTGCGAGCGAGCGGGACCCCCCCCGTCCTACCTGCAGCGGCTGCCGCGCAGGGAGCGGCGGGTCAGGCGGGTGAGCAGCACCTTCACCCGGCCCCAGTGCGAGCGGCCGTCCTGCGGGACAGGGGGACATCAGTACGGGGACACGAGAGACCCCCCCCGACCCCCCCAAGGCACCCTCACCCGGCCCCAGTGCGAGCGCCCGTCCTGCGGGACAGAGGGACATCAGTGGGGGGACACGAGAGACCCCCCGACCCCCCCAAGGCACCCTCACCCGGCCCCAGTGCGAGCGCCCGTCCTGCGGGACGGGGGGGGACAGAGGGGGATCAGCGGAGACACCCCAGGGACCCCCCCGACCCCTCCCGGCCGTACCTTGTCCGGTGCCGGGCCATTGGCGCCGCCCTCGGCGGGCTCCAGCAGGCTGGGGGAGCTGACCGAGTGTCCCCAGAGCCGCCGGCACGGCCCGGGCTCGGCTGCTGCCAGGGGGAACAGAGCTGGTCAGGCTTGGGGGCCGGGGGGGCATCGTGCTGCCATGCCACGTGCTGCCCCCCTCACCTGGTGCCAGGTCCTGCCTTCCCACCCCGCTCTCCTGGCCCCAGGTCCCGTCATTCCCACATCCCCCAGAGCTCACCTGGCACCAGATCCCGTCATTCCCACATCCCCCAGAGCTCACCTGGCACCGATGCTGCCATTCCCAAGCCCACCCCGCTCACCTGGTGCCAGATCCCGTCATTCCCACATCTCCCAATGCTCATCTGGCCCCAGGTCCCGCCATTCCCAAGCCCACCCCGCTCACCTGATGCCAGGTTCTGCCATCCCAGCCCATTCACCTGGCACGGGTGCTGCCATTCCCGCATCTCCCAATGCTCACCTGGCACAGGTGCTGCCATTCCCTCATCCCCCAGTGCTCACCTGGCACAGGTGCTGCCATTCCCTCATCCCCCAATGCTCACCTGGCCCCAGATCCCATCATTCCCGAGCCCACCTCCCCTCACCTGGCCCCAGGTCCCGCCATCCCACCCCGCTCACATGGCACCGGAGCTGCCATTCCTGCATGCCCCAGTGCCCACCTGGCTCCAGATCCCATCATTCCCGAGCCCATCCCGCTCACCTGGCTCCAGATCCCGTCATTCCCACATCCCCCGTGCTCACCTGGCCCCAGGTCCCATCACTCCCGAGCCCACCCCCCCTCACCTGGCCCCAGGTCCCGCCATCCCACCCCTCTCACCTGGCGCCTGGCTGTCGGAGCAGGAGCGCTGCCGGAACCCCTCACCCCTCCAGGTGCCCAAATCCCTCCTCAGGTGCTGCGGGCCGGGCTGGGGGCGAGCAGAGCACAGGCAGGCTGTGAGCTGGGTGTGAGCTGGGACCCCGCGCCCCCTCCCCGTGCATCCCCCTCCCCGTGCCCTCACCAGGGTGCCCGTGCGGGCTCCGGCCGCCTGCTGCCGCAGGGCGCGGTTGTCCTGCTGCAGCCTCGCCAGGCGCTCCAGCATCTGGCACACGTGCTCCAGGTAGCGCAGCCCCTGCCCCGGCACCTCGGGCACGGCCCGGGGGTCCCGAGGAGACCCCTCGGGGTCCCGGGGGGGCTCGGCCAGGTCGGCGGCGCTGCCGCGGAGCTGTCGCGGGCAGCGCTGCCTCCGGCTCCGCTGCGCTGCCTGCAGCAGCCTCCGGCTGGCCGGGCGGCTTTTGGGGGGCTGCTCCTCATCTCCGGGGGGCTGCTCCAACGGGAAACCATCCAGGGAGAAGCGGCTCTCGGAGCCCAGCGGGCTGCGGGGTGAGTGCTCGGTGCTGGCCGTCTCCACGCCGGAATCCTCGGACTCGGACTTGGGGGGTCTCCCTGCGGCCGGGGGGCTGCTGGGGGGTCCGCGGGTGCTCATTCCCCGCCGGGGCTGCCGCGGGCTCTCCTGCAGCCGGCGGTAGACGCTGGCGGAGGTGCGCACGATGCAGCTCTCGGCCGACTCGCAGGGACCATCTGCGGGGGAAGGGAGGATCGGGGGGCTCAGCTGGGGGGTCCCGGGGCAGAAAACTGGGTGCCAGAGCAGCTCCAGCCGTGCCCAAGGCCGCTCTCCCCCCTGCCCAGCAGTCCATGCACTCCTACAATGTGTTGTCTCTACTCCCTAAAACACGGCCCTGGCCTCCACCATCCTCCTCCTCCTCCCGAGCTGAGCTGCTGGGGGGCACCCACGGCCCTGACCGAGATTTTGAGCCGGGTTCTTCCTCGATCCCGCTCGAGCTCGGTGCCAGCGACCCAGGACACAGCACAGCCGTGGGATCTCAGATCTGGGATGGCTCCAGGGCCACCAGCTTGTCCCCATGGCATGGGTGGCATCGCCAGCCGGGATGTGCCCCCAGGGCCCCGCGGCTCCAGGTGGGATTTTGCTGCATCCGCGGCAATCTCGGCTCTCCTCGCTCCCTTCCCCGCGGGCTCGGGGAGGTGACAGCGGAGCTTTGGCACCTCCTGCAGGCCGCCCACCCCCCAAATCCCTCTCGGGGGTTCGCCCCCCACCTCTCCCGCACTCACAGCAGCTGAACCTCCTCTTCCAGCCGCCGCGGCAGCCGCCCCACATCGCCCAGAGCCGGAGCCGGGCCCGCGTCCCGGCGCTCCCTTTTAAAGCCACCCCAGGCGGGCCCTGCACCCAGAGCGCCTCGTTACAGGACCGGTTCCCAACTGGTTCCTCGCAGGGCTTGGGATGGGCGATACTGGCTGGGCCGGTGGTTAAGGAGTGGGGAGGAGAGAGGGTTTGGGCGCCGGCAGGCAGCCAGCGCCGCCTGCATCCCACCGGATTCCACACAGCTCACTCGGGGCTCCGGCGTGGGCTCAATTCACCGCTCGGGGGTCCCGGTGCTCCCAAATCCCTGCCCCTCCTGCAGCCTCAGCACTCACCGTGCATCCCTCGGGGGCTGGGGAGGCCGAGGGGAGCCGGGAAGAGGCGACCACCCCCCGGGACAGCCCGCATTCAGTGGGGTTGAATCGCAGCCGTGCCCGGAGCAGCCCGTCCGCCCCAGCACGATTGAATCCCAGGAATTCCGGGGGGCAGCCCCTCCACGGCAGCTCCCCAGCCTCTGCCGGCAGCCCGGATCCCACACGCCGCAATTCCACAGGCTCCAGGAGCCCACGTGCCGAGGGGCACCACCACGGGGGATGGCACCGCGGCCCCACGGGGGATGGCACCGCGGCCCCACGGGGGATGGCACCGCGGCCCCACGGGGGATGGCACCGCGGCCCCCACGGGGGATGGCACCGCGGCCCCCACGGGGGTGGGGGTCCCATCAGCTCCTCCTGGGGTGCCCCCCGCGCTGGCAGCTCCAGCTCAGCCCCTGGTGCCTCCCAGACGTCGCTGCTGTGTCCCGGCACAGCCGGAGCTGTGGCACGCACGGAGGTGGCCCCTGGGTTTTGGGGATCCCCATGTCACATTTGGGGACATCAGCCCAAACATGGAAAAGGAAAACCTGAATTCCCAGCGCAGCCGGTAGGCTGAGCCCCTCCCAGTAGGGAGTGGGATGAAAACCAGCGCTCCGGGGACCCCCCTTAGCACAAATTGGGGGGTCTGGGGAACCCCCAGTTCCTTCTCAAGCGCAGACAACACAAACTGGGGTTCCACGGAGCCCAGGTTCATTCTCCAGCACAGACACCTCAAAGCAGAGATCCCTGAGGATCCAGCACGATCCGTGCAGGCTGGAGATCCCGAGGGACCCCCCCAGCCCAGCCGGACACGTGGGGGCTCCACAGCCCCGGGGGGCTCCGACTCACCGGGGTCAGCACGGAGCGGCTGCACCGCGAAGGCTCCGCGGCGGCGCAGCATCCTCGGGATGGACCGGGAGTGGGAACAGACCGGGAACGGGGCACGGAGCACCGGGAAAGCACCGGGAATCGGGCTCGGAGCGCCGGGGCTGCTCCTCCGCTGCTTTATGGGGCAGGGCCGGGGGGCGGCACAGCCCCGGGGCGGGGCGGGGGTGCGGGGCCGCCCCCTGCCCGCGCAGCCCCTTCGCCCCCAGCCTCAATTGTGTTATCCCTGTAGGGCTCCGAGCGTTTATTCCTCTTTCTTCTGCGTGGAGAGGGCGGGAGGAGGGCAGGACCATCATCATCACCATCATCATAATCATCATCATCCTCCCTGCCTGGGTGTCATAGAGCCATGGAATGGCTGAGTGGGGACCTTAAAGCCCATCCAGTGTCACCCCTGCCGTGGGGCACCTTGGACACTTCCAGGGGTCCAGGGGCAGCCCCAGCTGCTCTGGGATGATTAATTGGGAATTCGATGGTGGAATGATTAATTGGGGAATCGATGGTTGAATGATTAATTGGGAATTCGATGGTGGGATGATTGATTAATTGGGAATTCGATGGTGGGATGATTGATTAATTGGGAATTCGATGGCGGGATGATTGATTAATGGGGAATTCGATGGTGACAGCTCCATGTCCGAGCCCGGGGTGCACGGGGGGCTGTGGCGCACCCCAAACAGACCCCGTGAGAGCCCAGGCAGGAGGGGACGGGCGGTCCTGGCTGTCCCTGCTGCAGAGGGACAGGGGAAGGGACAGGGGAAGGGACAGGTCTCTCCCAGGCCGCTGATAACAGCGAATCCCAGATAACAGCAAAGCCCTGATAACAGCAAAGCCCCGATAACAGCAAAGCCATCTCCGTGCGGGCGGGCACGGAGGGCGGGGAGCGGCGATAAGAGCACCTGGAGCGGGACAAAGGCCTCGACCAACAGCCCCCAATAAACCCGGACACCTCCCAGGGCCGCAGGGAGGGGCAGCCAGCCCTGAGGGCAGCCCTGACCTTCGGAGAGCGGCATAGGGAGAGACACCAGAACTCCTGAGTACCCCCCCGGGTACAGGCAGCAGGGCTGAGGGGTCTGGGGGGTCCCTGTCTGCACCCGGGTTTGGGTCTGGGGGGTCCCTGTCTGCACCCGGGTTTGGGGCTGAAGGATCTGGGGATCCCTGTGTGCACCCCGGGTTTGGGGCTGAGGGGTCCCTGTGTGCACCCCGGGTTTGGAGCTGAGGGGTCCATGTCTGCACCCCGGGCTTGGGTTTGGGGGGTCCCTGTGTGCACCCCAAGTTTGGGGCTGAGGGGTCTGGGGGTCCCTGTCTGCACCTGGGTTTGGGGCTGAGGGGTCCCTGTGTGCACCCCAAGTTTGGGGCTGAAGGATCTGGGGATGCCTGTCTGCACCCCGGGTTTGGGTTTGGGGGGTCTGGGGGGTTCCTGTTCTGCACCCCGGATTTGGGACTGAGGGGTCTGGGGGGTCCCTGTGTGCACCCCGGGTTTGGGGCTGAGGGGTCTGGGGGGTCCCTGTGTGCACCCCGGGTTTGGAGCTGGGGGATCCCTCTCTGCACCCCGGGTTTGGGGTCGAACCCCGTTCCCCCTGCCCTGGGGTCCCCGCACAGAGCAGACCCGGCAGTGGAGCAAATATATATTATATTTGTAAAGAATCCGGTTTAATTCCTCGGAGAAGCCCTTTGCAGTCAGTGCACAAGCGGTGCCAGCCCCTCGCGGTCCCCAAGTGCCCAAGCGACCCCTCCCGATGTCCCCAAGCCGAGAACTCACCCAGCTCACGGCACACACCCACCGAGGGGTGAAGATGGGCGGCGGCGTCGCGTCCCCCCAAATCCCATCCATCCCCCAGCCCGGGGTGGGACAGCCCTGGGGACACCGGGGTGACCCCGCGCGCGGCGCTCAGGAGCGAGGGGACACCGAGGGGGACACGGGCGCCGCCGGGGGGCCCTGGTAGCGCAGCCGCGCGTGTTTCTCGCAGAACAGCTCGTCCCCCACCCAGAAGTGGCCGCGCATCTTGAGGCTGAGGCCGCAGTCGGCGCAGGTGTAGCAGGAGGGGTGGCGGTAGCGGCCGTCCTGGATCCGCACCGCCTGTGTCCTGCAGGGTGGGGACACAACGCGGTCAGCAGAGCACCCTCGGTGTCCCCAGGGTCCCCTCCCAGCCGGGGTCAGCCCCATCGCGGCCCGGGAGCGATGGCGGGGATGGATCCTGCCCTGGCCCCACTCACACCCCAGGGCTGTCCCATTTTCACCCTGAAGGAACAATAGCAGGGATGGATCCTGACCCCACTCACACCCCGGGACCACTCCCATTTTCGCCCTGAAGAAACAATGGCAAGGATGGATCCTGCCCTGGGACTACCCTGACCCCACTCACAGCCCAGGACTGCTCCCATTTTTGGCTTGAAGGAGCAATGGCGAGGATGGATCCTGCTCTGGAACCATCCTGACCCCACTCACACCCCGGGATGGCCCCATTTTCACCCTAAAGGAGCCATGGCGAGGATGGATCCTACCCTGGGAAACCACTCACAGCCCCATTTTCACCCTAAAGGAGCAATGGCTGGGATGGATCCCACCCTGACCCCACTCACACCCCAGGACCAACTCCATTTTCACCCTGAAGGAGCAATGGCTGTGATGGATCCTGCCCTGGGACCACCCTGGCCCCACTCATACCCTGGGACTGCCCCTGTTTTCACCCTGAAGGAGCAATGGCAGGGATGGATCCTACCCTGGGACCACTCCCACCCCAGGACAGCCCCATTTTCACCCTAAAGGAGCAATGGTGAGGATGGATCCTGCCCTGACCCCACTCAGATCCCAGGACCGTCCCCATTTTACCCTGAAGGAGCAATGGCAGGGACGGATCCTGGCCTGGATCCATCCTCACACCCCAGGACCACCCCAATTTTCACCCTGAAGGAGCAATGGCAAGGGTGGATCCTGCCCTGACCCCACTCACACTCCAGGACGGCCCCATTTTCACCCTGAAGGGACAATGGCTGTGATGGATCCTGCCCTGGGCCCCCAGCCCCATTCCCACCCCACAACCCGCCCCATTTTAACCCCTCCAGCAGTGACAGCAGCGATGGATCCTGCCCTGGGACAACTCACACCCCGGGATGGCCCCATTTTCACCCTGAAGGGACAATGGCAGGGATGGGGATCCTGCTCTGGGCCCCCCAGCCCCATTCCCACCCCACAACCCGCCCCATTTTCACCCCTCCGGCGGTGACAGCAGGGGAGGATCCCGCCCCAGCCACACCCCGGATTATTTTATCCCTGCCGGGGGCAATGTCAGGGACAGCTCCTGCCCTGCCTGAGCGCAGCCCCTTTTTGGCTTTGCCAGGAGGGCTGGCAGGGACAGCCCCACCCCCGGGACGCCCCGGGACCCCCCGAGCCCCCAGCCCCACTCACGCGATGCTGCTCCCGCATTTCTCACAGACGTGCAGCTTCTGCACCCCGGCCACGGGCCTGCGGGCCCCGGCCGAGAGCCGGCTGGGGAAGGGGGCTGCGGGACCTGCTGGGGGGACACGAGGCCGTCAGAGCCGTGCCACCCCCGTGCCAGCCCTGCCCGCGCCCCCCGTGCCCCCCTCACCTCCTTCCTCATCCTCCAGCGCCTCCTGCAGCAGGCGGAAGGTGCTGGATTGCCGCGGGGCCGTCCGTAGCTCCCGGTTCTCCTGCAGCATCTTGTAAACCTCCGAGTCCTCCTCCAAGCGCCTCATGGCCGGCTCCGAGCCTTGGCTGGGGTGGGGGGGAGATTTTGGGGGGTTCCCAGCGCCCGAATTCCGGGATCCACCCCAGAGCCCGCCCGCCACCTGCTCCCTCCACCCCGGGAGCTGCCCCGGCCTGCCCGGCCCTCCCTCGGCCCCACCTGCCTGCAGGTGAGTTAACCCTTTCCCCGGGCTCCCTCAGCACCCACGGGTGACAAACCCGCGTGGGGACACGGACTGGGGGCTCCCCTGCAGCGGGGTCCCCATCCAGAGCCCCCAGCCCGCTCCGTACCTGAGGCAGGCGCCGGCGGAGGGCGAGGAGAGGCGCCTCTCCCGGGGGGCTGCCCAGGGGCTTTGGGGGGCTCCGGGCTCCGGTGAGGGTGGCCGGGGAGGGGGAGGCAGGACGGGCCCCTGGGAGCTGCTCTGGCGGCTCAGGGGTCGCTCCTGGTGGGGGAGAAGGGAGGGATGTCCTGGGGGGTCACAGAGCCTCCCTGTCCCCCCAGGCACCCCAAGGACACCCGGACAGCCCCAAACCCAGATCTCCACAGGGATGCTCCGTGGGGCTGCTGCTTCTCCTTCCCACCCTGAATGGGACCGGTGGGACCCCCAGAGGGGCCAGGGCAGCGCCCCAGCCCATAACCCAGAGCCTGAGCCCGTCCCCTCCCCTCATCTGCTCCTGCTTAGCGGGGCCGGGAAGCGGAGCCCTCCCCGGCTAAGTGGAAGCCGATGTTGTTCCCGATGTTTGTTCCCGATGTTGTTCCCGACGTTCCCGGTGTTTGTTCCCGATGTTCCCGGGAGCAGCTGCCCCGCAGATGGAAACGAACCCCCCAGGGTGGGCACAGGGCACGGGGACCCCCTGGCTGGACCCGCGGGTGGGGAGAGGGGAGCACCGAGACCTTGTGGGATGAGCTAAAATGAGGTAAAATGAGGTAAAATGAGCTAAAATTAGGCATGGGGGGAGCCGGGCCTTGGCCTCATCCAAGGCGAGGAGATGTGAGGAAGAGTGGGATGGACCCAAGGGCCGCCATCCCCTCACCATCCCTCGGGTACAGGGGATTGGGTGAGGGCTCCGGGCATGGCACCCTCGTGTCCCCAACCCTGCGGACCCTGTGGGCCAGGGAGGGACCCTGTGGGCCAGGGAGGGACCCCTCGGAGCCGGCAGCGAAGCAAACAAGGAGCTGGAATGGGAGGAAGGAGGGAGCGGCGGCCGGAGCAGCCAAAGGGCGGCCGGGGCTGCGGCCAAAGGCGGCTGGGAAGGACCGCGCTGCTTCCCAATTTGGGCTTGAAAAACAAGAAAAAGAGAAAGCGGGGAGGGAGGAAAGGAGGGAGACGCCAAGGCCGGAGTCAGCGGCTGCCCGCAGGGAGGATGGGGCGGCCGAGGGCACCCTGGCACTGAGCTCGGGGCTGGAGGAGCCACTCGAGGCGTCTCCATCCCCATCCCCATCCCGGCGCATCCCGAGCCCATCCCGGGGTGTCCCACGGCCCCGGGTCCCTGCCCGGCCAACACCCCAGAGCCCCGGGCTGGCGGCACCGGGGCCGGGCCCTCCCAAACTGGTTTGGCCTCCCCAGGCTGGCGCCGCTGCCAAGAGGAGCAAAACATCCCCGGGCAGGTGCGGCTGTGCCCGCGGGGCCGGGGGCGCTGCCAGCGCGGCGGGGAGGGGACACCCGCGACAGCCACCGCAGACGGGGGCACCGGGACAGCGGGGACAGAGGGGACGGGGCCGTGGGGGGGGCAGAGGGAATGGTTTTGGGGCTCAGAGTGGAGTGGTTTTGGGGCTCAGAGTGAGGTGATTTGGGGGCTCAAGGGCGGAAGGTTTAGCATCAAAAAGGGGCAAGGTTTGGTGGTTCAAAGCAAGGAGGTTTGGGGCTTGAAATGGGGGTTCAGAGTGGGGTGGTTTTGGGGCTCAAAAGAAAGTGGTTTAGGGGCTCAAAATGAGGTGATTTGGGGGCTCAAGGGGGGAAGGTTTAGCAGTGCAAAAGAGCAAGGTTTGGTGGTTTGAAGCAAGGAGGTTTGGGGCTTAAAATGGGGGTTCAGAGTGGGGTGGTTTAGGGGATCAGAGTGGGGCTGTTCTGGGGCTCAAAGGAGGGTGGTTTGGGGCTCAAAATGAGGTGATTTGGAGGCTCAAGGGGGGAAGGTTTAGCATCGCAAAGGGGCAAGGTTTGGTGGTTCAAAGCAAGGAGGTTTGGGGCTTGAAATGGGGGTTCAGAGTGGGATGGGTTTTGGGTTCAAAAGGTTTTGGAGCACAGATGATGGGGGTTCAGAGGGGAATGATTTTCAGGTTCAAAGGGTTTTGGAGCACAGATGCTCCCCCAGCAGCTCTGCCTGGCCCCTGCAGCCCCCCCAGCTCACCTGGCTCAGGCCGGGACAGGTGAACTCCCGCTCCAAGGGCTGTGAGCTGGGGGACAGAACGGAGCCATCAGAGGGGTCCCTGCCCCTCCCCAGCCCCCTCCTCACCCCCAGCCCCTCACACAGCCCCGTGCAGCCGTACCTGGCACTGAGGGATGCCAGGCTGGGGTCGAGGCTCCTCAGGGCACTTTGGCTCTCTCTCGGCGCCTGCAGCGTGTCCTGGGGAGGGGAGGGTGACACCAGCAGCTGCCACCAGCCCTGGCTGTGGGGCTGGAGCGTGCAGGGGCTCCCGGGGCTCACCTGGAAACGCGTGGCCAACCCCTCCAGCGAGGCGTCCCCGTTGGTGACGCTGGGAGATGGCACCGGGCACCTGGGAGAGCAGCAGGGTTTGGGATCTGCCCCAGGAGCCCCGAACCGCTGAGCACAGCACGGTGAGACCCTTCCTGCAGCTCCATCCCCAATTGGCCCCAGGTAACCACTGCCAGCGCTGCCCGGCCTCGTTAGCACCCGACTCATTAATTAGAGAGCCGGGACGGGCTCTCATGGGGATGGCACCACCCCAAGAGTCACCGAGGGGGGGAACAAGTGACACACGCGTGGTTGGGGACCCCCAGACACCGCTGGCACCCGGGGCTGCCCCAGCACCAACCTCTGCACCTCCAGCCGCAGCTGCCCCGCGCTCCGCTTGATCTTGTTCTGCGCCTCCACGTTCAGCATCTCCGCCGTGCTCTCCCCGTTGATGGCGACAATGACATCCCCCGGGCGGAGGTCACCCGCGGCCGCCTTCCCGTGCTCCGTCACCTCCACCAAGGGGACACGGGACAGTGACACACGGGGACACGCGACAGTGACACACCGGTGCAGCGCAGCATCCCCCGCCCTGCGGCGATGGGATGTTCCCTCCCTCTGGAATGGCCAGGGCCAGCACCAGCCCCTCTGCCAGGAGGGGACCCCGGCCTTGGGGACAACACCCGGGAATTTGGCACGGCCTGGCCCAGCCCAGGGGCCGCGGGAACCGCTGGGGCCGTTCCTATGGAGCGGGATCCTCTAAGGACGGGAAACGGGATCCCCCAAACAGGATCCCCCAAGGACGGGAAACGGGATCCCCCAAACAGGATCCCCCAAGGACGGCAAACAGGATCCCCCAAACAGGATCCCCCAAGGATGGTGAACAGGGTCCCCCAAACAGGATCCCCCAAGGACAGCAAACAAGATCCCCCAAACGGGATCCCCCAAACAGGATCCCCCAAGGACAGCAAACAGGATCCCCCAAACAGGATCCCCCAAACAGGATCCCCCAAACAGGATCCGCTCCCCGGGCCAGCCCCGAGCCCCTCGGCTCTCCCCGGGCCGGGGGACACGGGGGGTTCCTACCTTGGAGACGGCGATGGGCTTCCCGAAATCTCTGCCCCCGGAGATGCGGAAGCCCCACGGGGCCGGGCCGGGCAGTGTCACTGTCACTGTCGCTGTCGCTGTCACCGGCATGGCAGCGGCGGCTCTGGGCGGGCAGCAGCGAGGTGTCAGCGATGCCGGGTGCTGAGGGGATGAGGCAGAGGGACCCCTCCCCTCCTCCTACCCACAGACCACACAGCGAGGGCCTCCCTGTCCCCGCCGCACCCCGAGGGTGCTTTCCTTCCGGGGAGGGGACCCAGGTCCTCGCAGGGTGACAGCAGCCACCGCCGCTTCCTCCTGTCCCCAGCGCTGGCGCCTTCCTCCCCGGGCCCGGGGGGTCCCAGGCACCCGGCGGTGCAGCTGAGACAGCCGAGGTCGTTCCCAGGAGCTGCAGCAAGGCAGGAAATTGGTGAAGCCTTGGCAGCAAGGCCGGCGCTGTGGCCTGGCAGAGCTGAGCGGGGTTTGGAGGGGAGGATGTGGCAGCGAGGGACGGGTCCTGCTGCACCACGGCAGCGCCCGACACCCAGCGAGGAGCGGCAAATCCACAGCGGGGAAGGACGCTGAGGGTCCCCCGGGGGTGGCACAGGGTCCCCGTGGTGCCCCGGTGAGCGGCGCAGCCCTTGGCTCCCATGGGATGGGTGGGAATGGGCAGCAGCATCCCCTAAATCCACCCCAGAGCCCATCCCACCCGTGCCGGCACAGCCTGGGGGCGCTGGGCACCCCATCTGGGACCGGGCACCCCATCTGGGACCGGGCACCCCGTCTGGGATCGGGCACCCCATCTGGGACCGGGCACCCCGTCTGGAATCGGGCACCCCGTCTGGGACCGGGCACCCCGTCTGGGATCGGGCACCCCGGCCGCAGCCGCCGGGAATGTTAAAAATCCCAAGAGCACAAAGAGGGGCTTGAGAGGCTGCCCGGAAGAATTTCCTGGGCTGGGCTTCCAGAGCCGGGAGGAAACCCCAAACCCCAAACCCCCTCCCCATGCCCAGCCCCGCTCAGCATCCCTGGGCAGCCCGGGGACCCCCACACGCAGCTGGGCACCCACCCCAGACCCCCCGACAGCCCTGAACCTCTTCTGTGGACCCTGCACCCCTTCTTTAGACATTGCACCCCACCTCTCCCTTATGCTCCCCTTCTCCACCTCCTGCACCCCTTCTCCATCCCTGCACCCCTTCTCCACCTCCTGCACCCCTTCTCCAGTCCTGCACCCCTTCTCCACCTCCTGCACCCCTTCTCCAGTCCCAGCACCCTTTCTCCATTCCTGCATCCCTTCTCCATCCCCGTCCCCAGCTCTGTCCGTGCTCCCCTCCTCGGTCCCCGTTCCCCACCTGTGTCCCCGCTCCCTCCGGGCTCTGTCCCCGCCGCACAGCGATGTCTTTGTGCCCGCCGTGTCTGGCGGTGCCGCCTGGCACCCGCGGGGCGAGCGGCGGGGACGGGCGATGCCAGGAGGCGCGGGGACCCGGGGACACGAGGACTTGGCACTCGCGAGGATCCGGGGACACAGTGGGGACGCAGTGGGGACCTCCCCGCGCACCGGGACCCCCGAGGGACGGACGGACGGACGGACGGACCCCCCCGCGCCCCCGCGCACTCACCGGGGCGGCCGAGCCGGGCGGCCCCGCGGGGCTGCGGAGCCGAGCGCGGCCCCGGACGGCGCCGCCTCCTCGGGAGGAGCCGGGCCGGGCTGCGGGCACAGCTCCCCCCCTGCCCCGACGGGGCGCACGGCGGCGCCGGGCCCGCCCCGGGCCCGCCCGTGGGCGTGGGGGGATCCCCGCGGCCCCACGCAGCGCCCCCGCCCACGGCTCCGGTGGGACGGGTCCCGGAGCGGCTCCTCCCCAATCCCGGCACTCTCAGAGCGGCGCAGAGCGGAGCTTTAATGACGGAAAAGAAGCGAAGGCGACTCCCGGACGCGGACCCGCATGGCGGGGCGCGGCCGTCACGGTCAGGCCCGGCACCGGGCAGAGCCCGGGGCGAGCCCGGGCCGGTGGCACCGGCAGCGGTGGGGAGGGGGCGCGTTAAGGCACCGGGGCGGGGGAGAAACCCCGCGCTGGGGGATCCGTCCTTGTTAGAAGCAGCCCCATAGGGGCGGGAGGGAGCTGGAGGCGCTTCATCCCCGTGCGGGGACACGGCGGGGACACGGCGAGACACGGGGAAGCCCCCGCGGTCCCCACGGCCGCGGGTCACACCGGCGCCACGTAATTCCCGGGGAAAGTGCCGAATTTCTGCGTCCTCCTGGACACTCCTGCGGGTACAAAGACGCGGAGAGGCGGTGAGCGGTGAGGGTGGCACCTTGTCCTCATCCCTGTCCCCAAGGAGGTCGCCACGCACCCACGAACCAGCCGTCGTCGCATTGCTGCATGACATCCACCCTGTCCCCTTCCAGCAGCTCCAGCTCGTCGGCGTTTTGGGGCCGGTACTGGTACAGGGCCCGGTACCTGCGACACAAACCGTGGGCAGAGCCCGCCCCACGCACACGGGTGGGACCCTCGTGGGGACACCGCGCCCGGGGCCGCCCCTGGCCGTGCTTACGGAGTCCACCGGATCTCGGAGCCGTTGTAGGACGGGGCGGGCTCGGGCCGGGCGCTGCTTTGTGCCACCGCCGGGGTCGGGCGCTGTGGGGGACACGGGGGGTCAGGGCGGCACCCGCAGCCCCAGCGGTGCCAGGGCGGGGGGCACGGTGCCAGGGCGGGGGGCACGGTGCCAGGGCGGGGGCCACTCACCTGCTCGGGGTTCCAGCCAGGACGCCGCGTCTCCGCAGGGTGTGGGGGGCTGGCAGAGGCCACCAAGGGGCTGGGGGAGCCAGCGTGGGGCAGCTTTGGGGACGGGGGGAAGGCGGCACCGACGCCGGGACCCCGCTTGGCTTCCCGGGGGGACCCCGCGGGAGCCTGGGGGCCGCGGGGGCCGGGCGAGCGCTGCAGGGCCGGGGATCGGGGGCTGGCGGGGCCGGGGGAGGCGGGGATGTCCTCGGCCGTGGCTTTGACCCGCGGCTCCTTCAGCACCTGCACGTAGGTGGCGGGGAAGATGCCCTGGCGGCTGGTGCCCGAGATGCGCCCCTCGTACCAGTTCTCGTTCACCCGGCGCACCAGGCAGATCCGCTCGCCCTGCGGCGGGAGCAGAGGGCGGGTTAGCGCGGGATGGCCCGGGATGAACGGCCCGGGATGGCACAGCACAGAATGGCACGGAACGGCCCGGGATGGCACAGCACAGAGAGGCACAGCATGGAGAGGCACGGAAAGGCCCGGCCTGGCCCAGCACAGAATGGCCTGGGATGGCACAGCACAGAATGGCACGGAATGGCCCGGGACGAACGGCCCGAGATGGCACAGAACAGCCCGGGATGGCACAGCACATAATGGCACGGAATGGCCCGGAACGGCCTGGGATGGCCCAGCACTGAGAGGCACAGAATGGCCCGGGACGGCACAGCATGAAGAGGCACAGAATGGCCCAGGATGGCACAGCACGGAACGGCCCGGGATGGCCTGGAACAGCCCGGGATGGCCCAGAATGGCCCGGGATGGCACAGCACAGAGAGGCACAGAACAGCCTGGGATGGCCTGGAACAGCCCAGAATGGCACAGCACAGAGAGGCACAGATTGGTACGGGATGGCCCAGAACGGCACAGGACGGCAGAGCACGGAGAGGCACAGAACAGCCCGGGATGGCACAGCACGGATTGGCCCGGGATGGCACAGCACAGAATGGCACGGATTGGCCCGGGATGGCCCAGCACGGAATGGCACGGATTGGCCCGGGATGGCCCAGCACGGAGCCGCCGTACCTTGCGAAAGGAGAGCTCCACGTGCACATCCCCTCGGAAGTTGTAGAGCGCCAGCGCCTCGCCGTATTCCAGCACCTGCAGCGTGGGAGCCTTGATGGGCTTGGGCACCTCGGTGGGCGGCAGGATCTGGGGGGCACAAGCGGGTGAGGGGCAGCGCCGGCGCCCCCCGGCCCCGCTGCCCCCGCGCGGCCCGCGCTCACCTCCACGTAGTTGGAGGGGAAGATGCCCACGCGGCCGTGGTGCTCCCCCTCCAGCCAGTTCCTGTCCACCTCCTTGTGGATGTACACGATGTCGCCCTTCTGCAGCGTCAGCTCCCTGCGAGGGACACTGTCACACCTGCCCGCGGGCACGGACCCGGCCCCGGCTCGGCTGGCAGTGCCAGGGCTCCCCCAGTCCCCATCTGTCACCGAGGGACCCCAGGGGTGACCCCGGCGCTTACTTGGGAGACTCAGCCTGGAAGTTGAACTTGAGGCGAGCAGCTTTCATCTGGGGAGGGACGGGAGGGGTTACAGGGGACACCCCCAGTCCCGCCACCCCAAACCCGCCATGGCACAGCCCGGCCTCACCTTCTTCTCCTCCCTCCTGACGGCCTCCACGGGCTCCCCCAGGTCCGACAGGCTGGGCAGGGTCCCTGGCCTGAGGGTGTCTGTGAAGAGCGGGGGGTCACGGCCAGGGTGCTCGGGGTGCCCCATGGCGGGGCCTGGGGGCTCAGGGGGGCTCAGGGAGGGCTCAGGGGGGCTCAAAGGGGGCTCAGGAGGGCTCAAAGGGGGCTCAGGGGGGCTAAAAGGGGGCTCAAGGGGGGGCTCAGGGGGAATCAAGGGGGGCTCAGGAGGGATCAAAGGGGGCTCAAGGAGGGATCAAAGGGGGCTCAAGGGGGTCTCAAAGGGGGCCCAAGGGGGTCTCACCTCTGCCAGGGCTCCGGTCACTGGCCAGCCCCAGCCCAGCCCGCTCCATGCTGGGGGTGGCAGGTGAGTGGAGGGTGCCAGGGGGGTTCCACAGCCGCTGGGGTGACAGGGGGCTCCTGAGGGGGGACAGTGGCTCAGGGCAGGGCCATGAACCCTCCCTGCTCTGACCCTGCTGCCCTTAGGGGTGGGCAGCACCCCTGTGTCCCACAGAGCAGGATATTGGGGTTCTGTGCATTGCATGGACCAGCACATCAGGGACCCTCAGGGCCCCTTTATCCCATGGACCCCTGGGTCCACAGACCGGGAATTCAGGGTCCACCAGGATTCCAGAATTTCATGAACCAGCATATTTGGGTCCCCCAGCACCAGAACCCCAGGATCCCACGGCCCAAAACCACGGGGTACCCCAATGTAAGGACACTGGGGTCCCCCAGAACCAGAACCCCCGCTCTGCTCTCTGCAGCGCTCCCGGGGCTCCTCCCGGGGCAGCCAAGCGGGACCGGTCCGAAGTTTTCCGGCAGCGCGGCCCCGCTGCGGCCGAGCAGGAAGCGCCGGGGAGGGCTAATGAATAACCGCGCTCCGGGGGGCGCTGAGAGAGCCCGAATGCGCCCCCCAAAGCCGGAGGAGGGGCTGGGGAAGGGGGGAACCCCCGCCCTGTGCGCCCCTGGGGGTTACGGTGGGTCCTACAAGAGGAGGGACTCGTTGGTTTGTTGGTTTGTTTGTTGGATTGCTTGTTTGTTGTTTGTTTGTTTGTTTTGCTGGCGGGGCACAGAGGGATCTGTGAGGA